GTCACACAGGGGCTACCGCTTGCTCTGCATGAGCTTGCTGAAGGAACTGTCTCAACAGACCCCTAGTAGCAACACCCTGTTAAAGTAGGTATCCAGAGGATACATAGGTGGAGTGGTGCCCAAGGTGGAACCGGGGCTTTAACCAACTCAAGAAAGGGCATGAAGCTGCCGCGCGTAACCCTCACCATACAGGATTTTAGAAAGAACGCAAAGTACTAGCATGCGAACTTACCACAGTGTGGATTTTAGAAAGTGTACAAAGACTTCACGTGCACACTTACCATAACATGGATTTTAAAGATACCGTCCTAAGGGGCTCTCGTGGCACTTTGAAAGAGCAGCCCATAGATGGAAATGTTCGAGAAGCCATCAGCTCGATTTATGGTAAAATGCTGGAATGGCTAGCAGTAAGTTACCTAGCTGAGGGAGTAACACATCCAGCTCTCAGTCGAGAGGGGGCTCGACCTACAGCATGTTAGTTAGAAATCAGAAGGGTAAGCATACTGCAAGCCCTCAGGGCGACCTAGATACGGCGTATTAGACAGGGCAGCCTGAAAGCATAAGCCCAGCCTGGACGTCCAGGAAATTTTGCAGTGCCGTGCCGGGGGCCTGATGATCAAGAAGGCTGACGCAGAAGCCTGTGATCTGGCCGCATGATCCAGGAAGCATGAAGCCGGAACCAGGGCTATCATACCGACTGGATACAACATCGACGAGTGAGGTAATCACTGCAACCCGGTTTCTGAATCCAGCAGAGGGGGTGCTCACCAAGGACCTACCCTAGAAAAGGACAGAAACACACAGGTCCCGGAAAACACTGCAAAGAAAGCTCGCAGATGGAATACACACAACCACCAGTGTATTAAATATATATTTTTATAAAAATGGATGGTTCCCGCGCAGGAGCCCCGTTCAAGAAGCGACCCAAAGAAGCCTCTAGTCCAGACCATCAGTAAGGTGGTTACTATGAAGCCATAGAACCAACCGAAACATCATAAGTCCAGCATAGGAGACTGTAATGCAGGAAGTTCCTACCTAACCTCGGTTCCTACCTAAACCCCCCCGAGGGAAATGAGTAGATACTCAAGTATCACTCTGATCCGGATGAAAGCCCTGACGCCTCGTCTGGATCACATCCCTTAGGTCTTGCCTACCTCCCTTTGACCCGTGATTCCTCCTACCCACAGGCGGGGGAGGAGCGCGAGCCGAGACACTAGCCTTCTGTACTCGTCTCTGATCCTCAGACTGAGACCCCTGGGTTGTTCGGGCTCAGACCTGGACCTTCGTGGAATGAAGGTTTTGAAGGCCGCTGAGCGCGCCTTCGCCTCCCTGAACTTCTCAACCCCCGTCTCGACGGAGGTACTGAAAAGTTCGGAAGGCAAAACCGGAGCATCAAGAAGAAAGCCCCTCTCTTTCTTCCCGATATCTGCCAGGTTCACCCACAGATGTCTCTCGGTTACCACCATAGCCGCCATGGACCTGCCCATAGCAGAGGTGGCCTGCTTGGTAGCATGGAGAGCGAGATCTGTGGTGTGTCGCAACTCCGCTACCTCATCGGGAGAAAGGGCCTCGCCTTTATCCAGGTCTTTCAGTAGATCAGCCTGATACGCCTGAAGCACCGCCATCGTGTGCAACGAAGCGACAGCCTGACCTGCTGCTGCATATGCCCTGCCATTTAAGCGAGTTGTATCCTGAAGGGGCTTAGGAGGGAGTCTTAAGAGAGGATGTCTCACCCATAGAGAGATAGCTAGCCAGCGTCTCTTCTACAGGGGACATCTTCTCAAGGAAGGCTCACCTGAGCTGGAGGGCTATGGTCAGAAAGATAACGCTCATCGAGAATACCTCGCGACGTCACTTTCTTGGCCCGCTTCCATGGCAAGTCAAGCCTCGCCGTGGCGCGATCCATAACCTCCAATAGCTCATCATACGCAGGGCAGGAGGATTGGGAGGGCTTAGCCTCAGCTTCTTCGCCCTCCTCAGACATCTCCTGCTCTTCCTGGGCTAAACCCAGCAGAGCACTGGCCCCTGGCTCAGACGATATTAGGGAAATAACATCATCCTCCAGCGGCTCACTCTCGTCCACAGCCGACGAGCGCGAGAGGGAAAGCCCCTTTTTAAACTCATCGGCCAGATCTGCCTGCGATCCCCACAAGCTCATTCTCCTCCGTGCCTCAGCAGCGGCTGGTCCTGAACCATCTCTCCTCGAAAAGAGAGACAAACGAAAGCGGAGCTTTTTCATCAAAAAACGCTCACAGTTAATGCAGATTGCCCCCTCGAGGACATCGCGTGCGTGCTCTTTGCCCAAACAAAAGATGCAAAGATCATGTGTGTCATCAGGTGTCAAATAACGACGACAGGGATGCACACATCTTCTAAACGTCTTGCTAGTGCTCGCCATAATGAAGAAAGAAAGATCGCTCTTACCACGGAATGCACGCTTCAAACAAAACAGTCAATGAAGACGAAGAAGAGAATGATGTGTTCTCTCGGCGCCTATTTATACTATAGTCGCACCGGTAGTGACGTCATGGGCTGTCGTCGGCCAACATGTTGTTGGTGTTTTTTGAATGTATGCTTCAGACACAGGTCACGATGAGGCATTCCCCATAGCGACCCCTAGAGGACCCAGTTCGAAGTTCCCTTGAAAGGGAACTCAATTCGGTCTGGTTTTCTGAGCGCAGACACTGACGCATACACACACAAAAAGCGCGTCTCACAGCGCGCGAGTACTCTTTCGCGTCGCATGAACGGAGAATTACACACAAAATGATGTTGAATTGTCCGTTTTGACGAGTATTCACGTAAACAGTTGATTACGTCTTAAGTGAACATAAACAGTAGGGAGAACGTGTATCAGTACATTGCTTCCATTGCAGCTGTGCATTCGGTTTTAAAGGGATAGCAGCCTAATTTAGTTAATATAGAGTCATTGATGTTAATCAAGCAACAAAAGAAAGACAAAAAATCATGCACTGCTCATGACTGAACAACTTTAGTAGCCCTAAAGATTCATCTAAATTTATTTATAGAAATAAATATGTCTGCTTGAAAGAATGAAGAATATGGTAAACAAGTTGCTATAAAGAATGCATAATTAGCCTATATAACCATTGGTATTTCATTAAAAAAGAGCATGTTCTTGTTCTTTAGGAGAAGTGGTTTTATTTAATTTCAACATAAAGGCATGTTGTGTGTCACCGCAGTTAAATTGATGTCTATCATGATAAAACCTTAATATCAAACCTATATAATGAGTTTGGAAATTTTAGAGAAATGCTTAATAAATACACTGTAACTAAACCCATTAGATTTTAGCAGACTAAATTTACTGTAGATTTAGTCGACTAAAATCTTATGATATTTAGTCGACTAAAACTAAAAACAATTCAGATTACTCAAATATGACCAAAACTAAATGGCATTTTAGTCAAAAGACTATGACTAAAACTAAATCAAAATTTGCTGTCAAAATTAACACTGAAGTACAATTACGTTACCTTGAGAGACTGATCCCACTGAACCACCAGCATCTTTCCTCCTACTTTGCTCTGACGGAACCCATGACTTGAGTGCAAATCCACCAGCTTTCAGAATCTCTTCAAGTCCATTTATTATCTCGTTCTGTCTCTCCTGGTCATTGAGGGATGTAAAGATATCATCCACATAACTGTCCTTCTCAAGGACTCTGTGCTCCTCTCTTAAATGAGCAAACTTTATTAGTCTATACATGGAGGTTCTCCTATAGGTTACTGAAAGACTACCTCACCCATCACTGTTTGAGAACTACAGCAAGCTTTGGTGGCTCAAAATGCACAGCATGTTTAGTTGTTGTTGTTTTTCTCATGGTGACTGTCCCTGCAATAAATCACCTTCCAGAAGGCACCTTGAAGGGAGAGTAATCAAGCTAGTCATGCTGTAAGATTGTGTCAAACTGAATTTCCAATAACAATTACTTGAGAATCATCATTTCTGAGCACCACTTGTTTCAGCCCAAAGCTCTCACATTGGGTGGTAATGTCTGATTACAATTCGACTGATTCAAAAGAACTGATCCAATGGGTCAAGCCACTTATTATTATTACATTTTCTTATTAATATTAAATAAGCTTTGTTTTATATATATATATAAAAAAAATATTACTATATTGTATGAGGTCACAAGTGTACAGGCATAGATGAAGGGAGTGCGTTATAACATTTTTGGTATGGTATCAATTTTATGGTGCATCTTGTAACCTTTTTCACGCCTGCTATGTTTGCAGCCCTAAAAGGTAAACTGCTGGGAATTTTCGATTAGGCCAGCACTACATGTTAAGTTTAAGCTAGATGGCAAATTTGAAGGTTAAATCATAGTCAAATGTGCCTGTTACCCAATTTGATTGATTGATGAATTGAATGTCGATTAATTAAATTAAATTAACCAAATTAGCAAGTTAACTTGGCACATAAGTTACAGCATATCATTATTGGTTATGTTCTGCACTGGTGTTGAGAGAGTTTTATACCTGTTTACTGTTAAATTAATAATCTCTTGAAATCGTCGCAACTCTACAAAATCCCATCCAAACTTCACAGTTAGGATGCTTAAACTTTGTTGATTGGCTCTAATGAAAATATACTATATATTTTATTAAATTATGTAAAATGTATTACTTAATTTTAATTAATATTACATTGAGTATATTTTAAAATCAAAAAATCAAAACAAGTATATCTGAACAATTCTATGCAGTTAGCCAGTTTATTTTTTGAGCTGTAAAGGATCTTAATCTTGCAGCTACTATTCAAGGCATGTAAGCACCTGGTTACATGGTGCTGATGTTTTTTGCGGGTGGAATTTATTACCTTAAAGAAATACAGTTTCTATGTATGTGTTGTGTCTGCGATCTTGCATATAAACTATTTAAATTTTTGAACTCTAAATAAGTTATCTTTCAGGTAGGATTAGGGTAAAGATGGTGGATTTTAAAATAACAGATGGTATAATTGTAATGTCACAGCTTCAAGATCGCCAGCACTTTGTGGAGAATGACGAAATGTACAGCCTACAGGATCTGATTGACTCCTCCAGTGGGCGTCTCAGCTGTTCCCTCACTGAAATTCACACAACTTTTGCCAAACATATTAAACTGGACTGTGAGGTAGGTTTGTGGGCATAGAGTATAGAAATGCAGATAATGAAGAAAAAAAACATACACAAACCCTGAACTGATTTATCAAAATGAAAGACGTGTAAGTGATAAAGTCTTAAAGTAGAAAGGTTGTTTCTACAGTGTGTGTGTGTATATACTGTATATATATACACAGTGGGTATAGAAAAGAATCACCCCTTTAAAATAATCACATTTTGTTGCTTTGCAGCCTGGAATGAAGCTGTATTCCAGCTGTATTTACTCAGTGCAACTTGTAACATCCTTAGTGAAAGAAATAACACCAACATGTCAGAAAAAAAAAAAAAACAGAATCACTGAGTTGGGAAAAGGATCACCTCCCTCCTAAAAAATGACTTGTAAACTCAAATCACACACACAAAGCCATTTGACTTTCAACTGTGATCAGCTTGGTCATTTTGATTAGCTCAGCATGAAAAGAGCTTTCCTGGAGCTTTTCAGTCCTTGGTAGTGCAACTGAATCAAACAATCAACTATGGGTGGCAAGGCACTGTCAAAAGATCTCCGGGGTAAAGTTGTGTACAGGCACTAGTCAGGAGATGGATACAAAAAAAATTCAAAGGCTTTATCAATTCCTAAAAGCACAGTGAAATCTATTATTAAGAAGTGGAAGGTTTTTGGTACAACACAGACCCTCCCTGGATTCAAACTGGATGAAAGAGCCAGGAGGAAACTGGTCAGAGAGGCTACCAAGAGGCCTACAGCAACTCTGAAGCAGTTGCAGGAATTTATGACAAAGAGTGGCCATTGTGTGCATGTGACAACAATTTCACTAATTCTCCACAAATGTGGCTTATATGGGAGGGTTGCAAGAAAAAAGCCACTCCTCAAGAAAGGCCATATGCAGTCATGACTGAGCTTTACCAAAACGCACTTTGAGTCTGAGGCCGCATGGAAAAGTTATGTTATGGTCAGAGGAGACTAAAATTTTATTATTTGGCCTCAACCCCTAACGATATGTCTGGCGGAAATCCAATACAGCTCACTATTCAAATAACACGATCCAATAACATTCTTACAGTAAAGCATGGAGGTGGTAATCAGAGGCGTCATACCCATTCAAAGTGCACGTGCTCCCTCAGATTTATGAGCCAAGTGCATTTTGAATGCAGCTTCCAAAAGACAAAAATAGCCGAATAATATTTTTATATTTGATACAATCGTACCGGTGTGATTAGATCGTTCAGTGCGGCACAGCATCAGCTGCTAAATTCAAATCTGTGTTCGCTGGCTGGTGCTGAGCCAGAGACAGGCGCGCTTTTACAGTGCTGCGCATTATAACCAATCACACACGATTCTGTTGAGCTTATGAATGCAATGGCCAATCAGAGACGTTCAGATAAGTCATCGCTGAAACGCGGTGTTTTGCTCTTACCAGAAACAACAAAGTGCAGATGTGTGTACGAATGTAAGATATTCATTTCACAGTGTAAACAGCTTCAGTGATTTTAATGGGAGTTTTTGAGAGTGCCTCTGGCTAGACTGAATGAAAATGTTCTTTGCCCTCTGTAAAATGAAAGTGTTATAATTAGTAACTTACTAAATTCTTAGTAACTTGTTATTAAATTCACATTAAATACAAAGTCAGTCATATTAAAAATATTTTATGGCATGACACCCATATCTAGTACTTAAGTAAAACATCTGGTTTGTATGTGTAGTTAATAGATTACACTATTAGTCTACTTTGCCCATCACAATTGATCAAATAACATAATCTATAAAGGTGCAAAACACATTTACTTACACATATTTGAGAATCGAGATATTTCCAGATATAGACTAGTTAACACGTTTGGAAATATTTCCAATAAAAAGAAAAAGAAATAAAACATAAGCCTAAATCAGTTATATAGTGCTATCGTAGCTGCTGTGTGTCACATGACAAGCATAACCCCACCCCCCAAATAGATGTGGCAAAATACAGAGACGAGTGAGAAGGTTTACCTTCCAACATGACAATGACACAAAGCTCACAGCAAAACTGACTAGACAGTGGTTGAAGGAGAAAAAGATGAATGGCCTTATATGGTCAAGTCAGAGCCCAGACTTGAACCCCATTGCAAATCTGTGGAATGACTTGAAGACTGCATTCCACAAATGGTCACCATCAAATTTAACTGAACTTGAGCAGTTCTGCAAAGTCTTGATGTGCAAAGTTATATTATAGACATATCCCAATTAAAGCTGTAATTAAAGCAAAGGTGGTTCAACAAAATACTGACACAAAGGTACAATCCTTTTTCCAACTCAGTGATTGTTTTTTTTTTTTTTTGTGCTTTCAAACGATTAATCGCATCCAAAATAAAAGTGTTTATTTACATAATATATGTATGTGTACTGTGTATATTTATTATGTATATATAAATACACAAACATACATATATATATATATATATATATATATATATGGTCCCACTTTATATTAAGTGGCCATAATAATAGTACTTACACTGTGGTTACATACTACATACACATCTAGTTACTATGTAAGTACACATTGGTACATAGTATATACAGCTGTAATGTTTGTGTAAATACACATATGTAACAACCCACTGAATGGTATGTGTAAATACAAATGTGTAACAGGACATTGGTAACAACACTTTTTGGTAATGAAAGTACAAATGTGTAACAGGACTAACAGCACTTTTTGGTAAAGAAAGTGT